GGAGGGGAGGTGGGGCAGGAGTGTGTGAACCCCACTCACACCTGCTAGAACTGATGCTTCCACTTTCTCAGGAAGTTGGCCAGACACCTAGTAGGTCTATTTTCTCAGCATGGACCAGCAGGGCTCCACTGGGCTCAGTACAAATCAATTTGGCCACACATTGGTTTGACTGATGTTAAAATCCATGGTTCCTGGGCCGTGAGGGCTGGAGTGGGCTTAGAGATCATGTCCAACAGTGTTTCCCCCACCATAGACTAGGAATGAAGTTCAGAAAGGCAGGTGCACTGCCCCAGACCCAGGGCCAGCTAATGGCAGAGGTGGGGCATGGGCCCAGGTTCCTCCATCCCTCCACTGTGGGAATCAGGTCTATGCTTCACTCAATTACCTGGCCCTATTTTGTGGGCAGAGAAGCAATACCTTAAACCTCTGCTCGCTATGGGGTCTTTGCCTATTGGGAACTGGACATACTAAGCAAATAGGGCCATCTTTCTAAGTCTTCAGGGGTGGCTGTTTTGGGTAGCTCCACCCATTACAGGGAACACTGAGGCACCAAGAGTTCTGCCCGACCAAGAGAACACAAGTTCTGGCATCTCACTTAGGGCCTGGGTTCCCAAGGAAACCAGGTCTTTCTTATCAGCAAAGTGGTGCCCACGCCATGGACCCACACATTGGACCTTCTCTCCCCACCAAAGCCCCCAGCCAGTAGAATGGGAAGAAAGAAGATCAGGTACCTACTCTGTGGAGACATTGACAATGGTGGTCCGACCAAAGTGACTATTCCAGTCTGAAAGAGAAGAAAGTTGCTGACCTCAAGCCTGGCTCCCTGATTGCTGTGGGTGCCGGAATTCAAGGTTCTTGAATGGTGCCTAGGGTCTAGAGATGCGAGCCTACAACCTGCTCTTCCTTCTGGTTCCCCAGAGCTTGTCCCCAACTTCCAACCAACACAGCAGAGGCTTCTTCTCCTCCCTGGGTCTGCTGATTGGGGCTCCTCAGCCGTGAAGCAAGACCCAGCCTTGGTGTGGCATCCCCAGTGCATAACTGACACCTGGTTAATGCTTGTTGAAGGAACCTGAAGTCCCTCCATGAGTGCAATGATGAAATTAGCAACACCGTTACCACTGGCAACAGTTACAAGAACCTGGAACTCCAGAAAATGTGACGGCTCCCTCATTGGGACAGAGTCAATCCTTCAGGCTAAGTGTATTTGTGGGTCTAGACAGCTCCAGGTTTTGTGAAATGTGTCTAGAAATCCTGCGTTATACTGTTACTGCCAACACACTAGCTTAGGATGAGACTCTGGAAAGAGGGGATGAGGAGCTGCTTGCTCTGGCGGTGGTATTCTGTGGCCCGGACACTGTGTTGAGTTCCCTGAGGTCTACCTCTGGCCTGAGGAGAAAAGAGGTCGAAACCTGAGCGATCAGGGGAAAGCCGGCTGCCACTTGGCATTGACGGTGCTATTCTAGATGGCCTGGCCGTACAGCCTTCGTACAGCTCTGTCCACCTTCTATTTCTAAGTGAAACACTGGCTGTTATTCGCTCGGCACCCACTACATGGAGCACTGTGCCAGGCGCTCAGTGTGTATTATCTCTCAATCCCCGTGACAGCCAAGGAAACTGAGGCCTGGGAGATTGGTTTACCAAATATAAAACGAAATAATTTGCTAGATTGAGCAAAGATATTTTCTGGGAAGTTGATGTGGATCAAAGTTGGGGAATCAAGATTTTTCTGTCTTTGCAGCCCAAGCCCTCACCCACAATGTTACTTTGTCAAAAGGACTTACCCTGCTCTAACAAGTGTGGGAAGACGCCGTATGAGACAAATTCTGCACTTACGATCTGTGTCCCTCCGAGTGGGTACAGGAAGAAATCAGGTTCAGGGACTTTACATGTCATAAAAGGACCTCCAGGAACACCTGGCCAGGTGTGCTATGGGGTGAGGTCATGGATAAACATTCACTTCTAGATTGAATTACTACTAGGTGTCTGCTAGGTGCCAGGTCCTAGGTAAAACTTGTGACAAAGGAGGTGGTATCTCCGGTCTCCAAGTGAGAAAATTGAAGCACAGACTGCTGGGTCACATAACTAATTATGAGAAGTAGAATTAAAATGTAGATTTCCAGACTTCCAGGGCCCAGTTCTATCCCGTCTGCCAGGATGACCCTCAGGTCCAGTGGCCTAGGCCCAGCAGCCGCTGAGCTCTGCCTACCCAGCACGTTCCCAGAGTAGTTGATGGGCAGGATGATGCCCAGGGAGGGGATGCAGATGATGATCACAAAGACGATGAGGTGATACTGGAACGTGATATAGATTCGGGCGTCGTCTCCACATTTGCTGATCAGATCTGCGTTCCTGGAAGAGACACAGACAAGGACATTCCTCAGGAGCCAGTGTGGCCACAGCTTAAGTCGGGGGTGGAGGGAGGGAGGTGCCCACACGCATGGGTACATACATTGGCACAGCCACTCTGGGTAACAGTGGGCATTTCCTAGGAAAGGAAGAGAAGATTAGCACCTTAACCCCAGGTTGGAATTTTTTTCAGAAATATCGCCCTTCTCACCTGGTCGACATGGCTCAGTGGTTGAGCGTCGACTTATGAACCAGGAGATCACGATTCGATTCCCAGTCAGGACACCTGTCCAGGGTGGGGCCTGACACCCAGTCGGGGGCGTACAGGAAGCAGCCGATCAATGACTCTCTCATCATTGATGTTTCTCTCTCTCTCCCTCTCCCTTCCTCTCTTTGAAATCAATAAAAACATTTAAAAATAAATAAAAAATAAATACTTTTTTAAAAAGGAAATATTGCCCTNTAAATAAAAAATAAACACTTTTTTAAAAAGGAAATATTGCCCTTTTTTTTAAAGCCTCTGTTATGTCTGAAATGTATTTCACTGAATTTCACAGGCATATCAAAGATAGAGGCTATGTTACACTTAATACAGAGGTACTCTGGAAACTAAGCATTCATTTGGTCTTTTCTCTCATCTTCAAGCATTTTGAGTGCTTGCTATGGTGCAGGCAACGGACAAACCACTAGTCACATCAAGATCCAGCCTACTTTTAAAAACTTGTTTCTTTTAATTCTTTAAATTAAAAAGGAACACTTAAAATCACAATGAGATATCACTGCATGCTGCCAGATTGGCCAAAGTTATAAAGCCAGACATCAAGCGTTGGGAAGGGTATGAGGCACTGGGAGTGCTCCCACGCTCATGGGTACATACATTGGCACAGCCACTCTGGGTAACAGTGGGCATTTCCTATGGATACTGAATATATGCCCACCCTATGACCTAGCAATTCCATTCCTAGGTTTATATCCAACAGAAATACACGCACCTGTGCATCAAGAGGCATGTTTAAGAATTTCATAGATGCATTATTTGTAATAGCCCCAAACTGGAAAAACCTAAGTGTCTATTAAAGGTGGAATGGGCATAAGAATTATGAGATATATATGCATATATGTGAGATATATATGTAGTGATATATGTAGTGATATATGGCTATATAGAGATATAGGTATAGATATATATACACATAGATAGATATAGATATATCACATTATATAGATAGAAAACAAAATGCTATAGAGAGATAAAAATGAATGACCATAGCTGAACCTCATAAAGACAATGTTGAGTGAAGGATGCCAGGCACAAACAATATATACCATATGATTTTATAGACAAAGTTCAAAAATAGGCAATATTGAACTATAGAGTTAGAAGTCAGGATGCTGGTTACCTTGGAGAGGAGGAGGTGATAGGTGATTGGGAAGGAGCAGGAGAGGACTTCTGGGATGTTGGCAATGTCCTGATTCCTGATCAGGATGGTGGTGGCACAGGGTTTGCTCTGTGATAATTGAGCTGGACATTGATCTTTTGTGCACTTTCTTGTGTGCGTGTTATACTTCAATAAAAAATGTACAAGCAACACCAGCTTATTATAGAAACGTTGCAAAATACAAAAGAGAAGAAAATCGTTCTCCTACAGTCTCATCCGACCAAAGACAATGACTATGGAGCATTTGGGTTAATTTCCTCTAGTTTCTTATGCTGGTTTAACTTACTCACTGGAGTATAAACAGCACTTGATGTATTGCTCTTTTGCTTAGCATTTAATCTTAAGCCTTTTCTGACCATCTGACATGTCTGTCTGAATATTTTCATGGCTGCACAAGGATAATGGTGGCAGTGGCCTCTGTTTATGGAGCACTGGCTCACGTCCAGCACCAGGCTGGCCTTCCCACCCCACTGGTAGACGTACTGTAGCTGACTCCCCCTTGCCCCCTGGGTCAGGCCTGTGGGTTGTATGTAACTTCCAACATCCAGTCCAGGATTCAGATTTATTTTTAAACAATACTACAAATTGCATATCTTCAAGGCTTTCGATATCCCCATTTAGGGAATTATTTAGAGCTCTCGATTTTTTAAACTGCAAGCAGTTAAAATACTTCCTGCCCTGGACTTGAGACTTCAATCCTAAGGATGAGAACTGGTGAGAAGGCTGTAAGCTGGGGAGGGACGACAGGGGTGTCCTGCTGCTGGCTTGGGGGCTGCCATCTGGTCACTTGGCAGAAACAGTGTTTCTGAGGTGAGGTGAGGTCCAAGGGGGCCTCCCATTGCGAGGAGGGACAGAGGGCTGGACGGGATCGAGTACCCAAGACTTTCCTTCCAGGGCTGGCAATTCCTGCTTCCCCCGGGGCCCTGTCCTCCAGCTCCACCAGAAGCCCAGCTTATACTCAGCAGCTTATTTTACAGTTTCCAGAGGAGCCTGGATTTTTTTAGTCTGTCTATATTCCTCTACTCAATTCTTTCCTCTTCCCACCACTCTTTAAGGTGCCACCGCCCTGACGCTCCAGCCATCACCCTTCTCCTACTCACAATTAATTCTCACCTCTGCTCAAACCCCTGCCCCTTCTCTCCCTCTTTCTGGCGACTTGCTGTATCTGGTGTTCTTCTCTCTCATCTTTAAATTAACATCCACCTCTCTCAACACCCACCCATACCTCTTCCCTTAAACTACAACCAGGTTCAAGTGCTCATTTGTGTCTCTCAAATCAAATAAGCAGCTCCTCAAGCATCCACTCACTCACCTGTTGCCCCTCAAGTTCCATCCAACATCTTTACTTCCCTCCTCCCAGCCACCTCTTGAAAAAAAGTGACTTTCCTTCTCTGCCTGTACTTGGAAAGCTCCACATCCTGGAACTGCCCTCCCAAGAGAGACCAAATTGTCCAAGCCAATGTCCTCCCCTCAGCTCCCATTCCACTCAGCCTCCTAGCGTCAAGGGCTGCTGGCCACCCTCGCTGGAGCCTCCAGGCGCTTGCCTGCTTCAGAGGGCACATGCCCTGGAGGTGCCACCCCTTCCTCCCACCCCAACTACGCTCTCCCTTGGGCCTCTTTTGATCTTGTTCCCTTGGGTGAGCCATCTGCTCCCATGACTTCAACTACAACCTCTGTGCACCCACATAAATCTCTAGCTCTGACCTTTCTCCTAAGCTTTAATCCTGTTTTTTAATAGCTTGCTGGTCAACTCACATGCTTGCCCTGGCCATATCTGGTTATTTCTCCAACTCATCATATCTCATCACCTTCTAACTAGTGACATTACTATTCTCCCCAGAAACCAGGCCTCAATTTCTCCCTTTCTTAGCCAGGTGGTGGAAGCCAGGTGGAAACCACGGTCCATTGATTGCTCCCCATGATGTCTCTCCCCTATGCCTCCTCCCCACTGTTTCCCTGGTCGCCACCTCCTTTCACCTGGACCCTGGAAAAGGAAAAGCCCCCTTAGCTGCTCACCTTACCTTTGGACTTTCCCAGCTGCCACTCGCCACCCCACCCTCCATACTCCTACCTATAAACAGATGCCATCCTGAGTTTCCTGCTCAAAAACAGTAATTGGCTCTCTACTGCCTCTAGATCAAAGCCTGAGATTCTCAGTATGGTAGTCAAGGTCCCACCCTATCCTTTCAGCCCAAACTTTGCGCCCCTCTCTTGCCACGTACCCTTGCTTCTAGCCACATCAGAATGACCATTTCTGGACAGTCCCTGCCCATCTCTGCCCTAAACCTTTGCTCCCACAGTTCTTTATTTGTGATGGGCCCCTCACATCACAGTGGTTGAAATTCTTCCCATCCTTCAAGGTCAAGCTCAACACTATGCTTCTCCTGACCCTCCTAGTTGGAATTAATTTCCTGCTCTCCTAAATGCCCTTTGCATGGGTATAACCTCCTCATTATGAATTATCTGTCCTGAGTCTTGTTAACCCTTTGCTTCTCCAACTAGACTGATGGATTTTATGCACTGGGACTCTGCCCTCCTTGTTCTTGCTCAGTAAATGTATTAAGCTGCCTTCTAGACGCTGCTCTCAAAGAGAGCAGGATGCATAGTGCGGAGCCCAGCCCTCCTCCCTTCCTGGATACTGTGTTCCTGATGGAGGGGCCTTTGGGTGGGGTGGGGGCAGGGAGAAGAGGAATCTCACACAGACACACACGTCCATACACACTGACTTCCTACTGACCTCCAGGACCAGGTGTGCACACACAAACAGCTGTACACACAGATTTGCACCAATGCAGTGACCTGCATCCTTTATTTCATACTCACATGCACTCCCTACAGGTACCTACTACAAGAAGCTTTATGTTTTGCATGTATGTTCCTCCCTCCCAACACAGACACTTTCTCCCCTGCCTTGTGTGTATCCATTAACGTGTCAGCAGACAGCAGAGAAAATCCAGAAAGTTAGCCTCAAACTAACCCTTTTCTCCCAGACCTAAGGATGTGGTTGGCACAGGCAGGCCCATTCACCCAGGTTTCCCTCCCTCTTTCCCATGCAAAGGGATGCCTAATTTGCCATCACATCTCTGCCCTTCATTCATGAATTTGTAAACCCAGGAACTGAGAGCCAGCCCATGCAGCCTCCCAGGGTAAACAAGCTCCAAATGTTCATATGCATTGTTGGTTATTTTTAAAATGCAAAAATAGTAAATGCTTGTCGAAAAGAAAATTCCCTTGAAGCTGCTGACAGGGATTGCCTCCATTTGTGAAGAGGGGCATGAGAAACTGGAGGTGGGCGTGTATGTTTCTCTTAATCAAATGTATTTCTGTGAGCTTGTGCGTGTTTTAAAAATTAACAAAGCAAAACTAGACAAGGTACCAGGAAATAAAAATCTCCCTCCTGTTCCCCCCACATGTGGTTAAGCTTCCCAAATCACACACAAATTAGTCACATCACTTTCCGGGGACTCTGATAAATCAAGACTGGAGGCCAAGGTCATGTGGGGCTCCCCATCAGCAGGGTTGGGGCTCAAACACCAGAGGCCACTGGTCCTAAGCTCGGCTTGGATTCCCAAGGCCTAGTCAGGTTGCTCTGTGCTCCCACAGGGTCCCAGGCCCTTCAGCAGCTCTGGGGAAAGAGAGGTGCCCTGGTGTGGCTCATAGGGTTGGGGGTTTGGGACAATGTGTGAATGCTTCCAGCAAAGCGCCTGAATGGTGGGTGTGGAGGCACATGAAAAAGAAGTCCTATGCGTCTCTGCAAAGAAGCAAATTAGCAGGCCCAGTCAGACCCCCCGGGGGCGGTGAGGCTGCACCCTAAGGCAGGCATCACTAGGCAGGAAAGTAACCTGGAGGAGTGGTTTGAAGGGCAGGCAGGGCAGGATGGATGGGGGATATTTAGGGAGAGCCCAGGAGTGTACAGGGCTCTGAGGTGGAGGCAGAGCTGTGTGCACATGTGTATGTGCACATGTGCATGTGTGTGTGCATGTATACACACATGAAGTGGGCCATAGAGCTCTGGCAAGTATCTGCTTGACTGAAGTGTTTGGCTGGTATGGGGGAATCAGGATAAAACAGGTCACTTGGGGTCTATCTCCTTAACAAATGGGGTCTGGCACTAACGAGATCCCAAAGTTGAGGAGGGCGAGGGGCTATCCCTCTGCCATCGGGCGCCGAGGTTAAGAGGAAGCCTACCCTCCTGCCCAGTGGTGGTTGTTTTTTGGTTTTCTTTTCCATTTTGACAGATATGATGAATGATGGTCACAGAAATAAAGCAAATAGCAGACAGGAAGGGTTTCTATTTCCTGGTGTGGAGCTCATGAAAGCATTTTTATAAGCACATGAAAGTAGTCCTTCCTTGAGGGCTGGGGTGGAGATAAATGGGCTGTGGGCCATGTCCAGTTCCCATGTCACCAACTGTAACCCCAGAGAGCATCCTCTGCCTGAGCCGGCTGTGCTAGGCAGTGGGGAGTGGGCAGTGGGGACCCAGAACTCAGGCCCAGGCCCAGTCATGCAGGGTAGGAGGCTCTGCCCAACCCCTCCCCCACATAAGGCCACTCTGCTGTGGCAAGCCCAGAAAGCTCAGGCACTTACTTCATGGTGATGGTGTTGAAGAACCAGGAATAGAAGCCCTGGAGGAGAAAGGAGAGGAAGCGTGAGAAAATCCGGGCCTGGGCCGGCCCCACCCGGCTCTGGGAACCCGGGCAGCCAGTGCGTCATCCCAGGCGGTGAGGCAGCGTCCAGATGGGCCCTCCTTCCCCGGCAGGAGACATCAAGAAAGGGCCTGAGCCCTGGAAGGAAGCTGATCCGGTCTGGTCTCAGTGGTGACTGCTGAGGGAGATGTCTCCCCGTTAGTGACCTGACATTCCTGCCGCCTGGCATCCTGTTATAGGAAATGAGGGCTTGGGCTAGAGGCAGAGAAGGGGCTCTTTCTGGGGTGGGTGTCAGTTGCTTTCCATCTGTCCCTCATTGCTTCCTTCTGGGAAATGTCCCTCGCCCATGCATGTAGGTGGGTTGTCCATCAAATTGGGGTTGTCCATTATGTAGGCAGCTGCCACCAATGGTGAGGTGACCAACAGGAGCATGACCCAAGTAGGGCCAATCGGAATTCTCCTAAGGGGATTGATATGGGTGTTGGGAGAGAGGGTCTCTCTCCTTCTGAGTTCCTGAACCTTGGGAAATACCATGAAGCCTGGGGTGGGCTGGTGCCCTCTTTGATGCCACATGCAGTATCTTGTCTGAGAAAAAAAGCCAGTTCAAAAGAGATATGATCAGAGAGGGCAACACTAGGCTTCCTGGATCTAGCTGTACCTGAAGCAGCTGCTTCTCCTGGACTTCCCCACTCCAGCCACACATTACCCTTTATTGTAACTAGTTTGAGCTGAGTTTCTTCTCTTGCCTCTGAGGGTCCTGTTGGTTATGCCTTTCTCTTGGGCTCTTGCTGTCTGGAGTTTCTGGGTGGTGGGAAAGGTGGCCTTGGCCTTGTGTGTGGGGGGGGAGTTGGGAGGGCCTAGAGAGGCATTCAGCTTGGGAAGGGTGTGCATGAGCACGGGCTGGGGCCCATGGCTGGTACATGCTTCCTTCCGGGATCCCAGAGGGTTTAACAAAACCTCAGAAAAAGTTGCCATTCTTGATTGGCCCCATTTGGGTCATGAGCGCATCAGTGAACCAGGCAGGCGCATTGGCTGACAGTCCCCTGGGACCACATGGATTGGGGAAGGGGTATGTCCCAAAAGGAGGCAACGAGGCATGCAAACAAGAAAAAAAGGAAGTTCTTTGCTACCTTTGGCATAAGGCCCACCTTCTAAGTCCCCCTCCCTTGTTGGGCTGATTGACACTGGGAATGTCCACTTGGGGTGGGGAGACCATGTCCCCAGTTACATCCTGGGGAACTAAAATAAGGTCAGATGCCCAGGAATGAGTCAGAGCAATGACGAGGAACCGCATGATGATGGCAGCAGCGATTGGGAAAGTCCCCAGGGAGGGGTGAATAGCGACAAGAGTTGGGCTGAGAGTCCCACCACCCCTCCCTCATGGAGAGTCTCTCTCCACAGCCCACCTCTGGGCAGACAGGGCTGTGACTTACTAAAGAGCAAGGAGGTTTGCTGACAGCCCCTAGTGTTTATGCACAGTGGAGGACACACCTTCCCTGGAGTCACTCCCACCCCTTCCAAGACAGGTGCACAGACGCATATCACTCAGGGCACACACATGTCCTGGAATTCACACAGGACAGGACCGTCGTGAAAGGGCAGGGATGTACCCATGAAAACCACATCAACACAGATGTGTAAATGAGCATGTATGGAACCCATCTCTCTCTCTCTCTCTCCCTCGCTCCCCCCCCCCATACACAAACCCCTGCATATACATCGCAGCTCTGAAAGGCAGGACTCATTCAGAAACCTTAGCAGCTGAACAGTGGGCCTGAGAAGCCATCTCCCCTGTTCTCCTCACCCCTGCAGGAAATGGCCACAAGTTCCCAGGGGCCAGCTCAGCTGACAAGCCTGAGTGACAGCGGCCAATTCGTTGCACCTATCTTGGTGGCCCCATCCTCCACACTCTGCCACATGGGGTAATGAGAGCTGCCCTGACTGGCTCCAGCACTCTGGTGAGACCCGTTTGCTTCCCTCACCACTTAGCTCAGCTCAGACCCACCATCCTGGCTGGAGCTCTCTCCCTCCTTGCCAGATTCCTACTCTCTTCAGTTTGACTGCCCTTAGCTGCCATAATGATTTCTTTTCTTAATACCTTAAAATAAAATGATTTTTGTCATTGTACAAAAATTTTAAAACCAACCAAAGTGATGTTTCTAAAAGTAAACCCAAGAGCCACCTTGGAAGGTAGGTGTGACTGTCCTTGTTCTGGGGAGAAAGAACTTATCTGAGGCTCCCCAGTCTGACCAAGGGATCCTGGCAAATAAAATGACCCAGTCTCTTGGAAGGATGACAACGGAAGGAATATCGTTCTACTCACTCGCTGGATCCAACAGATCCGTGTCTGATCCTAATCACATGCCAGGCTGGACTGGGCACTGGGACAGCACTGAGCAGGACCGGAGCAGCACTGGCTCTCACTGGGGAAGCACATACACTGGGCTAATGGGTTGATGTATCATTATAGACTGCGTTAGGAGCGCTGAAGAAAAGGGATGCTTTTTTCATGAGCATATAACAAAAGATCTAGACCCAGATGGGGAGGGGAAGTGGTGCTTGAGCTGAAATCCGAACAAGGGTGGGTGTATTGGCTCAGAGAGAGGCCAGTGGGGAAGGTGGGGAAGGAAGAGCCAGGGAAGGAGGTGGCACTTTTGAGGAACTAAAAGATGGCCATGGGCCAGGCGTGAAGGAGTTGGAAGGAGAAAGATAGACTGGGTAAGAGGCCAAACCTCAAGATCAAGGTGTCTGCAACTTATACCAAGAGCATTAAGAAGCCACTGAAGGGTTATGCAGGGGAATGGGTGCCCCATTCATGTGGATCACTGTGGGTGGGGTAGGGGGCAACTGTGGACCTAGAGATCAGTTAGAGCCCACTGCGGTCATCCAAGCAAGAGACGGACAGAGGCCTGGATGGGGGATGGCGGGAGAGGTGGAGAGAAACAAAACTGAGGTCAAAACAACACAATGTGGTCATGAACTGGTCATGCCAGGGGCCTAGAGCAAGGGAAGCAAATACACTGGTGGATGGTGGGAAGAGTCTGAGACCAGGAATCTTGGGAGGGAGATCATGGCATGTTTTGGACATATTAAATACTAAATGCCTTTACAGTATGTGTGGTGTTATTCTGAAGGCCACTGGATAAATGAGACAGGAGCCCAGAGGAAGGTTTAGCTGGAGATAGAAACATAGAAGGGATCAGCGTAGAGGTGACAGTTGAAGTCATGAGTGTGGATGACATTGCCTGGGAGGAGGAGAGGGTCTGGGAACAGCTGTGGAGAACTCCAGGTGGGTGTGTAGGGGAGGAACAGACAGGTAGAAGGAAAACCCAGGGAGGGTGGTGCCAAGAGAAGCAACTGAAAGTGCCTGTTCAAGAAGGAAAGGTGGTCTACAGGGCCAGCTGTTTCTGAGAGATGAAATGAAATGAGATGAGATGAGATGAGATGAGATGAGATGAGATGAGATGAGATGAGATGAGATGAGATGAGAACTGAGGAAAGTCAGCTGGGTCTCATGGCATGAGATCACTGATGATCTTGGGAGCTGTCTGGAAATATTAACCATATTTGGAATTATGGGGGTGGAAGCCACATTTGAGGGAGTTGAGGAGTAAATGGAGGTGAGAGAATAAAGACAGCAAGCGCAGCTGGTTGTTTCAGGGCCAAGAGAGACAGGCAGTTGGGGGGAGAATGGAAGTTTTCATGGCTCGCTCCCTCTCTGCATTTCAGTCCCACTCAAATGCCATCTTATGCCCCAAACCATCCCTGACCACTATCTGTGGTACCTCAGCTCTGTTCCATTGCTGTTGAGGGCCTTCCTTGGCCCTTTTTCCTTCACACACTTACCACTGTCCTATATGCCTGTCTGTGTCCGTCACCCAGGAAGAAAGTGCCAGGAGGCAGGACTAGGTTCATTTTATGCACTGCTCAGTGCCCAGCCCCCAAACCAGTGGCTGGCACATGGCAGGTGCTCCACAGCAACTGGCTGAATGAATAAACAAGCCCCTATAGAGGACTTGCATTCCACAGGAAAGAGAAGAAAACCAGGCTCTGTCAGCGGGTTGGGAGGCCCTGCCTGATATCTCGAATCTTCTATGTGAAGAAGGTAGTGAATCCTTGGCTCAGAGTCGGAGCTCGGGGCAGGACTGGGGCTGTGAGAAGGGTTGGAGATTTGGAAAGAGTAAAAACATTCATTTTTAAAGTCCCTTTAAAATATCAGAATTAGCTAATACTTCCTTGGCACCCTAGGAGATAAGTGCAGCTACTATGTCCATTTTTCTGACTGGGAAACTGAGGCTTGGCAAAGCTGAGGAATGTGTCCACAGTCATATTGCTAGAAGTGGTTGGGTCTGGCTGACTTCAAAGCCCTTAGTTATGAACATGTTCCTTCTTGCACACAGCAGGGCTGCTGTGGAGCCAGGACCCCCATCCCGCCTGGCCCGGGCCTGCCCAGCACGCACCTTGTCCCTGTNCCCCACCTGGCCCGGGCCTGCCCAGCACACACCTTGTCCCTGTGCTCCATCTCCAGGGAAATATCCGAGGGAGACGTCTTCTCACTCTGCTCCCCGTAGATCAGCGAGGTCAGGCTGTTGGCATGAAAAGTGGTGGGGAGGCAGAAAAGGACAGGAGAGGCCTCAGGTGCCCACCTCGCTTCTGCCCTGCTCCCTGGGCTGAGGGCTCCAGTTGCCTCCTGCCCAGTAGCAGACACACCTCAGCTCGCCCGCTGAGCACACAGCTTTGGGTACAAATGGTGATCACCCCTGTTGCCAGGTGCCCAACAAACACGTCTTGGGAGTCACGGGATCCAAAAAGCCCGAGGTCTGAGAAAAAAGTAGCCTCGTGCCCAGAGATGGCTGCCTTCCAGGTCACCTTTGTGTAGGGAGGGCCAGAGCAGGGGAAGGGGTGGGTGATGAGGTGCCACCTGCCGCAGCTCAGGCACTGGGCAGAGCCGTGTCCCAGCTGAGCACCGTCTCTGAGGGAGCACGCGGCTGTCAGCATGACCCCGCCTCTCACCTGCCGTTGTTTATCAGCAGGCCCAGGCGCCCATAGTCCCACGCGGCTTTCCGGAGGAAGGAGTAAATCAGAATGATGAACTACGGGCCAGGAAAGGAGACACGGGGCAAGAGAGCTCGTGACGCCTTCCCCAGCTGGCCCCGCACTTCCCTGGAAGAGGCCCTGGCCCCGAGGTCCCCGGGGGCTCCCCACTAGGTAGCCAGCTGACAGGGTGGGGGCCATGCCCTTTCAACTCTGCATCCCAGTGCCCAGCAGCTTATGGGCACAGAGTGGATGCTCAGGGTTTATTGAATGAAGGCGCTGGGGGCACGTTTAGAACTATTGGCGAGACACCCCTTGGAAAATCAGCAAGGGGAGAGTGATGGGAGGCCCAAGCGCACTGGCCTGGGGCCTTTGGACAATGGTGCATGGAAAATGGCTGTTCTTTCAGCCCTCTCCCCTCAAGGCCCACCCACCTGGGGTCACCCTGGGTGAGATTATCATGCAGGGAGTCCCCACCACTGTGGCTGGTGTCCACTGACCAGTTGGGGCCCCTGTTGCATCGCCTGTGAAAGTCCGACTGTTGGGCCCAGCTGAGACCTGCCGATCTGCCCACTGCATGCCCAGGACTCACCAACCACAAGATGGTATTGATGATCAGCACGGTGGGGATGCCCCCAAAGGGCTGCCCCTTCAGCACGGTGCTCCGAGACTGAAAGCAGTCAGTCACTGTCATGTTCCGTGCCTTTTCCATGATATCCAGGTATCCCGGTGAGGTAGCCATTCTGTGAGGCTCCCTGGTGAACACAGGGGTGTCCGGGTCAGACCTGAGGAATCTCTCACACTTTGCAAAACACAGGAGCCTGCCTAGGAGCTGGGGGGAGGTGTGTGAGTGCACATCAGGCCCGGGCCCAGTGCCCAGCACCAGCTGTAACTGGTAGAGGCAGGAGGAGTGCCCTGAGAGGGCACGCAGCCCCATCCTGTAAGAGCAGCTCCCTCAAACCCAGGGCCATGGTGGCAGAAGAGCCCAGTTCTCCAGGGAGCGTTTGCATTTTGTACCACTTGATCCCTTTACAAAAAGAACTGTAAAATGCATATCTAAATGGTCTTTTTACTTCAACCTTTGTAAAGCTTTTTTGTATATAAATGAACAAACTTCACAAAGGTGAGTCAGGTCTGAGTGGAAATATGAGGTTAGGAGGATGGGGCCACTGCATTCACGGGACGCCCGTGTGGACAGGGCTCACTGGTCTTCGTCTCTAACATCCTACTATTCTCAGAACCAGTTCCCAGGAGAGGCAAATGATCCTACCTGGCACACAGCAGTGACTCAGTAAAGTCACCGTCTAATGTTAAACTTGAAGCAGGGAGATCAGCACCTGCCCAGGGACCTGAGCCAATCCAGTGAGCCTGAGCATTATGGGAAGACTCAATGGCAGGGTCCATGGTCCCTGGAGCAGTGTTCTTCAGGCACGGGTAAGAGTAGAAAGTGTAGGTAAAATCTGGAAGTGACTGGTAGCTGCTTGGGCTTATCTGCAAAGTTGTCCTGATTTTAAAAGATCATTTGTTTTGGCTCCAGACCTATCCTACCCTAGAAACTCTTCATTGCCATTCAAGAAAAGTAGGCTTATTCATTCATTCAACAAATATTCCGTGAACAATTGCCTTGTGCCAGACTAACGCTGGTGATACATCAATAACCAAGGCAAATAAAATCCCTCCCTCATGGGATTCTGGTGGGAAGAAGCAGTGCTGAGGTGAGGGCGAGGTTAGAATTGGAAAGAGCGTGACTGGGGAAGGTCGCACTGAGAGGATGACATTTGAGCAAAGACTTGAAGAGAGTGAGCAAATCATGCAGCTACAGAGGAAAGGGCACTTCAGGTAAAGCAAATGTTGCCTGGGGTGCTGAGGGAGAGCAAAGAGCCCAGGTTAGTGAAGGGCACAGGTGTGGGGAGGGTGAGCCAGGGAGTGACAAGAAATGAGTTACGTATTCAAGAGTTCACTTTGATCCTGGTCTGGGGAGTAAGTGGGGCGGGGGCCGAGAAGTAGAAGCAGAGAGGTCAGTTAGGAGGAAACTGTAGGAATCCAGGCAGGAGATAATGGTAGCTTGGGCCAGGATGGACACAGAGGAAGTGGTGAGAAGTGGTCAGGTATTAGAGCTACTTTGAAGGGGAAGCCAACAAGGCGCACTGATAGATTGGATGGGGAGTGCGAGAGAGGAGTCCAGGATGACTCAGTGTTCGACCTGAGCAACTGGAAAAACGCAGGTGCTGTTATTGGATGGAAAAGGCAAGAAGCGCAGGCTGGCAAGAAGTGAGGGCTGGCAAGGGAACCAGGTGTCAGGTTTGGTCGAGCTGAGTGGAGAGGATTGAGCAGATGGTTGGCTATGAGTCTGCAGGTCAGAGGAGAGACTGGAGACACAAACATGGGAGTCACCAGCATGAAGATGACTCTTAGAGGCATAGGATTGGGTCACCAAAGGAGAGAGTGTGGAGTGAGGCTCAAGATCTGAGCCTTGGGAGTATCTCCCAAGCAAGTATGAGAATGTGACCAGAGGGCTGGAGGGGTATGCAAGGGAGTGATTTTCATGATTGTCTGTGGAACTTGGGACATGAGATGGGTGAGGAATAGTGAATAGTCTAGAGTTTCACTGGGTACTAGAAGATGTGAACTGACAGATAGGAAGTGGCTGTTGGGAAATGAGCTAGGTGACACTGAGACTAAGAAGGGATTGCAGCTGTTGGTAGTAAGGTCTAGGGCATGGCCATGGAGTGAATGGTGCAGTGTCGAGGCAAGAGTGTTGGAAGGGTCATCTTTGTGTGGAAATTGAAATCAGTAAGAATGGAGACAGTGAGGCAGGAGCTGAACTCTTCAGGGAAGGAGGGGAGTGGCCTGGGGGGAGGAGTCAATGCCTGTGATAAAGGCGAGAGCAGGATGTCTAGGCTGACACTGTGGGTCCAAGATGAAGGCTTTAGTGTGGAGGAAAGAAGAAAGTCTGAAAGCTGCAAAGAGAAGCAAGAAAGATATCTCTCTCATCCCCAGGCTAGTATCCTTGAGGGGGAAACAGAAACCACTCCCCGAGATGGCAGTAAAGGAAGTGGGGTCCTGGGGGGTCAGTTCTCAGTGAGAAGGCGGGGCACTGAAGTTGGGAGTGTTTCTGGGCATCGGGGCTCTATGGCATTGAACCCCAGCTCCAACGCTTACTCAGCACTAAGGTCTCCATGCCTCATCTACTCATCTGTAAAACGGGGGTGCGTTAGCAATTAGTACTCACTTCACAGTGCTGTTAAGAGGAGTGAGTGGGTTAAGGTTTGTCAGTCATGGAAAACAGTGCCTGGGACACAGGAAGTACAACACAGGTGTTTGTAAAATGAAACGTGGACTCAGAGTTTCAGGGGGAGAGTGGAACAGTTTCAGGAGCTGGGGAGGGTGAGAAGGTGGGGATGGAGAGAAAATAAGGGTAAAGGGACTGGCATGGAGGAGATGGGAGGTGGCCTGGGGGGTCTGAGGCTTACTGTGCTAACACAAATATAGCGGGAAAGGGGCATAATGAGATCAGTCCTGGAAAAAGGAAAGGGATCACAAAACTCACCCTGCTCCCCTCCAAATCAGCCTCTAACAGGAGCAGGGAGCCTCCTGCCTCTCTTCAGTTTCCCTGCTTTCTGCTCCCCCCTCTTTCTGCCTAGGCTGCCCACTGTTTCATTATAACCAGATCACTGGTTAACTCATTTTCACTAACATGTTTAGTAAAATGCAAACTTATAGTAGTTTACATGGAACATGGTATGTTTTAACAGCTTTCCGCCAGAGGGTCAGAGTAGCAGTGATGGCATTTCTGGGGTCTCTTGGTGGACCGGGCAGGCATCCTGCCTTCTCCCCGCGTTGGTCACCTGTGGCACAAGCTACAGTTCTGCCGGTGGCCACTAGGGGGAGCCCGGGCCGAGGAAGCAGGTGGGCACCTGGGCTGGAGGAGAATCTGGTGGGTCCATGGGCCTTGGTGAGATTTCCTACCTGAGTCAGCTCTCCAGCGAGGGTCCAACTCAGGCCTGGAGACTCCACTCACCACCCGGCTGCTGCAACAGGGCAAACACTGTGGAGAGACCAGGAGACTTAGTTACCCAGGCTGTCTTCTCCGGCAGCGCCATCCCTCGGGGCCCCTTTCCCCATCTTATGCTCTGGAAGCTCCTCCTTAACACACGAGTGTTTTACAAATAGTTCTTCCCAGTCCGTTGCTTGTCTTTTCATTTTCATCACGGTATCTTTTGAAGCACCAGAGTTTTGAGTTTTGATCACACAGTCCAATGGATCAAATTTTTTTTCATGGACCATGCTTTTGGTTTCATATCTAAGAAATCTTTGCCTGACTCGAGGTCTTAAAGATTTTCTCCTTAAAGCCTTATACTTTTAGCTCTTACACTGAAGTCTATGACCCACTTTTAGTTAATTTTTACATATGGTGTGAGGTAAGAGTCCACGTTCATCTTTTGCCATGTGGCTATCCAATGGTCCCAGCATCCTCTGTTGAATCCTCACCTTCAAAATGAGGCAAATGGCTTATAACCCCTCTCAGGTCTGTCTGGGGACTGGAACCAGGCCCAGGATGGGAGAGCGCTTGGCTCAGCGAACTGTTGTTATTATTTGGTTAATACGACGCATGAGGAGGGAAGGGAAGGGCGTTCTGGGCGATGAAGAGCTCTGGGCATCCATCTGGCTCTAAGAAGGAGGTTTGAGTTCTGGATGCTGCTCTTTTCCACTCAACTCCCACTCTCTCATTCTCTCATTCCAAAAGCATCCTCCCTTCCCTTCCCTTCCCTTTCCTTCCCTTCCCTTCCCTTCCCTTCCCTTCCCTTCCCTTCCCTTCCCCCTTCCTTCTTCCTTCCACAAAGGGTTGAGTACCTACCCAAAGCCAGGCATCATGCCAGGCTCTGGGGGCCTGGAACACTGGTTCCTGCCCACACGAGGCTACAAGGCTCACTGAGGAGCCAGGCAAGCCCGCAGGCACATGCCACCACACGCTCCAGCACGGAGCTGGGGTAAAGGGAGCCGTGTGAGGAGTCAGAGAAGCCTTCTGCAAGGAAGCGACCTCCAGCCAGAGCCAGAGCAGGTGCTGGAGTCAGCACAGTGCGGTGGGAAGCGTGGGCACAGGGAACCATCCTGGCAGAGACCCAGAGGGCAGAGTGAGCATGTGGGAAAGTGGAAACGCATACTCGCAGCCCGCATGTGGGATGGCTCACTGGCTTGTTCTTTCATTTGTTCATTTATCTCTTTAACAAGAATTCACTGAGTGTCTACTCTTGCCGGGCCCTGTATAGACCCTGGAGGTATAAACATGAGGTTCTCTTCATGGAGTTCACAGCCTCTGGGATTTGGGAGGAGGACTGCTGTTGGGAGGCCTTGCCCAGGCTGCCGTTCTGCCTGGAGGCCCCGAGCTACAAGGTCCCAGAGCCTAAGCCTGGAGTGGGGTGGAATCCATCCAGCAAGGTTGGTTGGGTTGGGTGCAGGCTTTCAGCTCACCTGGCCACCCAGCCTGAAGGGGAGGTGAGGAAGGAGAAGAGAGAAGAGAGCTCACCCCCATCTTACCACCCTCCGCAGCTCTCCAGCAGCGAGCAGAGGCAATAGTGAGGGAGACTGTGGCCATGGAAACCTAGAGCAGCACCCTGCCTTCTCTTCACCCCCAAACCATGCCTGGGCCATCCTCCCTTCTGAAGGGAAGGCCAGCTCTTGAGCCTGAAGAAGAGGGACAGAGCGCTTTCTGGAGACCAAAGCACCGGCACTGGGAAGAAT